GTTTTTATAGCCAGACTAGTTAGTTATTTACGGTTTTATGGCATAATTTAAGAAAAACACGTTTGAAACGTCATTTTCAAATAGCTAAACATTATACTATTTTAACATAAAATGGCTACTAGCCAGTACTTCCTAATAAAGATTTTTACTACTTCAGAACTCGATGCACAATATCATCAAATAGTTAATGGCTAATGTTGCCATATAAAGAAAATTAAATAACATCAAAGTTGTTACAAGTTAAAAACACAAATCCTTAATAATTTAACAGTTTCAGTGTTTCCGCTGCGCAGTAAGCAGAACCAGGAAATTAATCAAAAATATAGTCAATGTCACATATATTATTATAATATTGTCATTTCCTATCGTATCCCACACCCACTCAACAGATAAATCAAACAACTGAAATAACAAAATTAAAAATAATTTAATCACTTCCCTATCGGCTATTAACTCGTGCAAGCAATCATGGAGCTGAGCTTTTCGCTCTGTTTTTTCCTGGTTTTGGCACTCAGCCTAGTCGGTAAGTATTTATTCATATTTTCTTCTCAATTATTGCATCATTACTTATAATTTAGACTATTATAGATTGTATAATAATACTCAAAAAGATTTTTAATTAGAATGGAAATAATTCTTAATTTTTAGAAACTCAATACCACTGGCAAAGCGGTGTGATGATATCTATCTGCATGAAATTTCTTTAAACTATATTTAATGATCACATAAAATAAACCTTTAAAATATTCACTGTCAGAGTCTCGTCAATTTCGCTACGATTACAAATATAACCAAGATATCCAAGGTTGGATCAAACTGCACCAAGTGCCGGCCACCTGGGCAGACGCGAGGCTGAGATGTCATCTTGAAGGTATACTTCCCTAAATCAAGGAGGAATAATATTAATCTATTTGCCTCAATTTTAGCCTTTATAGTTAAAATAATTATGAGTCATATACACACTTGTGTGTTAAAATCCAGTAGCATTTCCGTTCAGATAATTTGATGTGCCAATTAGACAAACTTTTGTTATGTATGTGTTATGTTAGGTACAATGAATACCTTTTGTCGGTACAGTCAATCAGACTTTCCATCTTAGATTTAGAGATAATTATTGTAGCTGTATTAGGTAAACGAGGCGAAATTCCAAGGCGTTTACTTAATATTTATATAAATTCTTAATTCATACAATATCAATATATTGACCAAAAAATAAATAATAAAATATATTTTTAGGTGCCAATTTAGCCTCACCCCAAAATTTCAAATTCGCGATAGTACTAATGAATACATTGAAGAACACTCTTGCTGAACGCACAGGAATCTTCACGGGCATCCATGCGACCTTCTCGAAGGGAGATTTTCACTCTATAGAAGGTGAGACGCATTATCAATCATTTCTAAATGCAGATTTTTCGAACAAACTTTGGTTTTGATGTGAATTTTCATAATTTTCATTTTCATCTGAAATGGAATTTTCAACGGAATTGTATTTACTTATTACTTTAAATTTAACGTACTCATATACACATTCCATAGAAGGGTTGGTAAAAAAATGTTGTTTGCCTACAGGTATTCCGTTAACAAAAATGTCGCTACAATGGATGCCTTTCGAGCCTGATAACGAAAACAATAATGAAAACTGTATTGTGATGCATTCCAATGGGACAATCGCTGATGTCAACTGCAACGAAGTGTTCCCCTACGTCTGCTACAGAAAGAAGTCTAAGAACGAGGTGTTAACTGAATGCGGCACTGTTGATAGGGGTAAGGAGGAATCCCAAGCCTCGAAAACATATTCTTATGACCAAGAAATTTACAACAACTTCAAATTGTTCTTATTTAAGATTATCATCTGGACCCTCGGACTGGCAGCTGCTACAAGTTCCACTTCATAGCCCGTAACTGGACCCGCGCTTTCATGACATGTACCGCAGAGGGTGCCTATCTGGCAATTATCAATAGTGATGCTGAAGCTGAAATCTTGAAGAATCTGTTCGCAAAATATTCAGATACTGCAATACGTTTTACCCATGTCAAGTTTATTGCTTTCGTGGGTTTCCATGACTGGGGCGAGCAAAATGTCTGGACCACTATAGATGGTATGTTTATTTGAGAGCAATACAAAAAGTTTTTCGTTGTTTTTAGTATTACGTTTGCCAAAAAAACATAGGATGTATTTGTATTCGTTAAAGGAATAGATATAATTATTATCTAATGGTGCGTTAGCTTTTGATTGAATAATACAACTACAAAATTAATTTAACTAATTAAGACGCATTCCTCAAAACAAACTAAAGTTTTTGAAATTTTTACAGGCCAAACAATAGAAAAAGCAGGCTTCAACACTTTCGATGTTAACCAGCCAGACCAGCACGGAGGAGGGCAATCCTGCGGAGGTTTCTTCAGATCAGGCAAATTAGACGACTCCAGGTGCAGTGCCAGGCTGGCTTTCATATGCGAAAAGTCGGTAGATAGCCTGTTGGACGAAAATGAATAATAATTTTACAGAAATTATAATGTATTTTCAGTCATTAAAAGATATATTTAATTAAATAATCCGTATTATTAATAGCTTTTAATAACCAAACGTATACTTAATTTGGCTTGGTATTGCTTAAATAAAATTTACCTCGCGTGTCTTCCCTGCGTAAATTTAAATGGAATATTTCTAATATAAATCGTATAGCCATCACGTTTTTTTTAAAAGTTGTCTTTAAGGAGAATAAGATGATATAAGTAGGTAATAAGCAATTCATTAAAACCATTAATTTATAAAATCAAGCAATTGGCGTTTACTTCATTTTTTGTCCGCAAAACACTGTACCGTCCGTGACATGAGCCACGGCCACGCGTATTTCAGGCATACGTTAGTTTCCTAGTCCATGGTCAGTCGCCCTCGCTCCATTGAGACGAGATCACTACTTCTTAGCGCCATCGCCCGATATAATAATATAAGGACCACGAGTAAAATAAAAACTAAACTTAACACTTTCTCAATTAATTAGATAATATGTAATTATTGAATTAAAAAAAGATCATACGAAACTTAAAATTAAAGCGCGTAGTAAATGTCAAATATACAGATGTTACTTAATGATTTTATTAAAAATCAACTAATACCTAGGTAACACTGAAAAATTTAGAAAATGAAAAATGGTTTAATGTAGAAAGTTGCCAATACTTTTATTGTTTTTCGAAGTAATCTCCGTTCCTCCCTACACATCGTCGTATTCGACTGAGAAAAGCAGTGGGCCCATTCTTCCTTAGAGGTCTTTTCTTTGGCATTTTCGTACGCTTTCACCGCATCTTCAGGGCTCATAAAGCGAATACCTCGAATTTTATCTTTAGTTCTTAGGAATAAATGAAAGTCGCAGGGCGCCAGGTCAGGACTGTATGGCGGATGACTCATTATCTCGACATATCTAACATTTGGCGATACCAGTCCATGCGAAGGTGTTTCTGGTCGTCGGTTAAAGTATGGGGAATCCATCTGGTACAAAGCTTCCTGACGCCTAAATTTTCGTGTAATATTTTTTGAACTCAACTCATACCAATGCCTAGGCTTGCATGTTTCTGCTGATAAGTCACTCTATTATCTTCCTCTATGATGCGTCGCTCAGCACTGATGTTATCTTCAGTGAATATACACTATATAATAAACACGGCCTTGTGCCCAAACTAAAATCAGACTTCAATATACATTAATGATTTCGTTTCATGTATGGAAATAACATACTTTGATTAGATTATAACTACATACACTTAAAGGATATCATCCAAAAAGGTCTTAATTTAATTATTCAAAGCAGCGGCCAATCAAGGCACATTGTTACTTCGTACTAACTTTATCCATATGCATTCTGTAACCTACGCAAATTTACTCCTTTTCAAGGCATAGTTAGAGTTCCGGTAAACCAAAGCAAATGATTTTTTTCTCAGACAACATAGAGTCAATCTTGTATCCCTTTTATATAAATATTAGTTAGAAATGACTTCGCAACATTCAACCTAGTGCCAATAATTAACTTTGCAGGTCAGACGAAATAACTTTATGGTACAAATTGTAACTAGACAAGCTTAGACTTCTCGTTGATCTGCCCAAAACTTGACTAGTAAGTTACCGTAATGACTACACTATGAAAATATTGTGTATGTTCGACAAGAACCAACAACTCTATACGTTTCAACAATTCAATTACCCTGACTTTGTTTACAGAGGTCCTGTCTTGTGCCTCAGCTAAATGGGACTAGTAAACATAGAGCATTGAGCGATTTACATTTACAAGTCCAGTAACTACCCAGCAGGCTGTTTCATTAACCCTCTTAAATCATAGTTAATCTAATTAACAGGAGCATTTATACTGAACAATATCCTAATCTATTAAAAACAAGCATAGTACGACCAATTTACAAAAATGGTAGCAAAAAAATATACAATAATTACAGTCCAGTAACAATATTGCCAACAATTAACAAAATAATAGAAAAATACAAATGTGGACAAATTCAAAGTTATTATAAAAAACACAATATTCTTTCTGACAAACAATACGGATTTCAACCAAATAAAAACCCCACACAATTACTATCCGCCTTCACAGCTCATATTTATAAGCATTTAAATAAAAAGGATCATGTTCTGATAGTGTTTATTGACTATAGTAAGGCATTCGACACATTAAGGCACAGCGTAATCCTACAAAACTTAAATGACTGCGGAGTACGAGGAAACCTACTCAAGTGGTGTGAAAACTATCTACAAGATAGGCTCACGTGCACCCCATTTTCAATTCAATTCAATTTCAAAAATTCTTTATTTTGTTTCACAAAATTTATGGTGCTACATATCCAGTGACATTATTTCCTGGAATGTAACAACTTACAAGACACGTTTTTACAGCTATTTTGCTTTTTTAAAAACTTATAAAATTTATAAAACTAAAGTTATAATGTTACGAAAGTTTTAACAATTTTTAACAATGAGGTAAACTACCTGGTAATTATGCAATCTTTAGATGAATTTGCATTTTGACAAATGAACCCATTTGGTCCTGCACAATCACGCATGTGCACATTCTTATAGCTCGTCTCTCTATCCCATTAAATGCAACTGCAACGATTCGGAATTAGTTCAAAACCACAAATACCTGGGGCTTACAATAGATGACCGAATGTCCTAGAGAGTCCACATCAATTCTGTTTGTGAAAGGCTAAGGACGATACTTGCTAAGTTCACTATAATAAAAAATAAAATACCTATTAAAACTCTGCTCCTACTATACAAAGCACTGGCCGAATCGATTATAACATGTGGACTTTCAAGCAATGGGAGAACATGCAAAACTTATCTAAATCAAATATTTGCAATACAAATACGTATTTTAAAAACAATTGCTCCTATAAAATTTAAATCACAATATAAAGAGGACTACAGAAAGCTATTTGCATTTTTCTAAATTATACCTTTACAAGAGAAGGTGCAGCTAGGATTGTTAAATGCAAACTACTTTACAGAAAATTACCTTAAAACTCACCATCACTATTCAACACGTAGTAATTTAAAAAACGAATTTCCATTACCTAAATACAATAATCTATATGGAAAAAAAACAATAGACTATCTTATTCCAAATTTAATAAACTTACTACCAGATGCACTTCTTAATAATATTACAAGAAACAATATTAAATTTAAATAAAAAAATTATTACATAAATCAAACAATTATAAATTATGCATAACAAACATTATGCTAATCAGACAACATCTTCATTTAATTCTTATACGAATATAGGAATACACCTGTGTGTGAGAATTCTCGTCAAGAACAGGTTTCTTGCGTCGGCTAATTGCGGAGCGTCAATGTTTCAATTGGTTCGTGACGTTTTACGTACAATTTGAATGGTTACTTATTTAAATATGTTCGACGTCCTGGTGGACAGAAAAACTGTGCCCAGATTGTGTTTCCACCATACTAACTTATTTTCTATTTAAGGTCATGTATATAATAAATAAATAAAGTAAAGTTCTTGTTGTTTCTTCGGGAATCGCAGCCAGGAGTATTTTCACATACTATTTCCGCTGTAACTCAAAATAATTTGATAACACTCGACCATTATTAAACATAAAATGACCGGGTAGACAATAAGTTAAAGGCTAATTTAAAACACAGACCCTAAATGAAACAAAATATCTCATAATAATAATATGATATCATCGTACGCGGTTCACCTCTACCTCGCCTCAAAAGTACTACAAAGGATACTTCAATGTGAACTCGAAAAAATAACATCGGTGAGAACCATTTCAAAACCCAATTTACGTTTCCATATTTTTATAAATATTGATATAATATTAAAGTGTTTGATTAAAACATCCGTCTGTTTTACATTTTATGTTTGAAATAACATCATTATGTACTTATTAAGTTTTTTGTTTTATCTTTCAGACCTATTACTTTTTAAAATCTAATAAATGTATTTATGTACAAATAAAAGGTATATGTTATGAATTAGCTCTATATGAGGCTGTATTTTAGTTGTACTACTCGTAACGGAGTTAATATTCCAGTTTGAGTTACTTAAATAGTGTCTAGAAAGTTTAATTTTATCATAAAATGAAATGTGCAACGTATTATATTGTTATTTTCTTAGGCTGTAAAAACGACAAGGCTTATATATATCAAAAGTCTGCAACAATGTGATTTACATGGTTACTCCATAAATTGATAGTATGACTGGATGGTTTAATTAAATATTATATTGTTTTTAAGCATACTTGAAGTCAATAAATTAATAATAGATTAATAATTGTATTATTAATACAATAACAATAACAACATTTTTAGATACTAATAATAAATAAATTATACTATTCAATAAAAATGTAAGACTTAAAAATGGTAATGAAATTTTTCATATAAAAATAAAGTTGTTGTTAAATAGCTTAAAATCTTGTCTTAAATAGTAATTGACTGGATGGTAAGCATTGAGACTGGTCATTCTCTTCCTCGTTCTTGACAACTACTGCTGATGGCTGTAATACAATGGTTATCTGTTTAAATTGTAAATAGTGAGATGTGTTAGGTTGCATCTAAGTATATGGGGACCACAATATTGGGTACCAAATTAACAATAGTTAAGCATAGGAAAATAATAAAAAGACGCAAAACACATAAATCTTAAAAATAAATCTATAAACTTAAGTGGAGTGTAGTATCTTAATGCAGGTTTTAATAAGAACTATATGGGACATTTTAATATTCCTATGTAAAATATATTTGAAAACATATTTGATAATATAATAAATAAACCAAATAATTATAGTTGCCCTAAAAAAACCTTGATTTCTTAGACAATAAGCCAAATTTTTTTAAAAACAATTATTAATGAAACAAATCTGTGGCTGCGATCCATAAAAAGAATGCTAAACTAAAGTCTCTTAAATATTTATGCATCTGAATGTATATAATAAGTTATGGCAATGCCACTTTCAACA